TTATATATATATATATATATATTAGAAAGTTGAATGCCGTTGAAGCTTGAATACCGAAACGATATATTGTTAATTATGTAATTGGTACTACAATACTAAAACGGGACAAACGGAACAATTTGGGACAAAAATATTTAAAACTGTTACCGACATTGTTTGAAACGGCTCAGTACCGGGAACATGACAAAAATAAAATCTTTCAAAACTTTAATTTTTGGAACGGGACCATTCGATCAAGTTCGGTATTCGGTTTTTTTGTTGCCCACCCACAAGAAGAGATGGAAAAACTCCAAGACTTCACAAAAAATAAAATAAAGGTGAAATTAGACTTAACAATTAAAATAAATGATTGATAGATAGAAATTTGACTACACCTTATGTACATTGTTTGAGTTCTTCTATTATATTCAGGTTAACTTTGGAAAAAAAAAAACTACTGCAAACTGAAATGAGAAAAAAGCATGCGTGCGTAGAATTCGAGAGTGTCTGTCGCACGTGTGAATTGAGAGCGAATAACGACATTAATCTCAAGGTGTGATCCAAATTGAACTGAAAACTAAAAAAATGAACTGAATCGTGCAATTCAGTGTTGTTTGATTTGGTTATTTTAGTGAGCTGAACCGTGCCAGTTTAATATTGTTCGATTATGTTATTATGTTAAAGAGGATTTTCAATTCAGTTTTAGTTCAATTTCTCGAGTTCAAATTCAACTTATTTTTTTGGGAAATTTTCACCTTTCCTACTCGTTTTTTAAATATTTGCACATTTACCATTCCCACCAATTAAATTGTGTTTATACCTAAAAAATAAAAAGTAATTAAAGTCATGCCTAATATCAGTTACCCGATATGGAACAAACTTTCCATGTTTCTAGCCCATAATTTCAGCTCTCAATCTTGGAAGGATATCTGTTAGATATCATATTTCAAACTTTCCATGTTTCATTATCACATCTCATATATAGTCGTAGTGCTGCTATTGAACAGGTGAAAGTATATGTGCAGTATATTTTGGTATTTGTTCATGGAAATAAACTGCGTAGTTTTAATATATTTGGTTTATGTTCAGCAGTTGAGTATATTTTGGTATTTGTTCATGGAAATAAACTGCGTAGTTTTAATACATGTGGTTTATGTTCAGCAGTTGATTTTTATTGTGCAGCATAAGTATATTTTTAGTTTATGTTCAGTATATTTTTAAATTTTTATTGTGCAGCATAAGTATATTTTTAGTTTATGTTCAGTATATTTTTAATTTATGAACCACATCAAACAAAGACTTGGATCCGGATCGGGCCTGGAGTTGCTGCTCCCGCACGGCGATCTTCTCAGGCCGGTGAAGGCTGACGAGGAAGGCGGTTGAATCAACAAGGACAAAAGAAAAAAAAAATCAAAAATAAATAAGAAAATAACAAGAATTAAAACTGGAGCTTCAAGGGATTCTATCATTGAGCAGAAAAAGGCAAACAAGACAGAGGGAAGAGGGGATTGAAATGGCGCAAGCTGCAAACTAAGCCCCGACCACCACGAGGGAGGAGATCTGAGCCCGCCGCCAGGCCCGGCCTTCACTCCGTCAACCAGCCAAAAAAAAAAAAACTCAGAATCTCACCATGTTTAAATTACTCTCGTTTTGCTATCTAAAAGCCACCGACCACCACCACAGAGAAAATCAAACAAAGGTTGGAAACAGATAATACAGAAAGTATTTTCGAGAGTCTCGAGAGGATTTCATCTTCAACCTTGCCGCCATTGTTTATGTAGAAAACTTTATTCAAATTGAAGAATGAAAAAATTCACCATGAATTATTACCTGGTCTGTGAATATTTGTAGTGGCTATGGAGAGGAAGAGAGCTATGGATCCGTGGTACAAGAAACCTCCGAACATGGAGGGAGAGAGAAGAAGAAAACGAATAGAGAGAGGGAGAGAGAGAATGTGATAATAATAGATCCCATTAAATCTGCTCTTACCATATTTAAAACTAATTATTTGTTGTCAATAATCTGGTATGTTTGTAAATAAATATGATAGGTTTAGTTAATTTGCAAATAAATATATATGAGATGTAATTATGTAATAAAAATGTTAATTTGTAGTGGATGGTGTAATTTCCTCTATTTTTTTTTTCATTTGGTTCAGTCTTGAACAAATTAAACCGTGCAATTCGGTGTCGTTTGATTTGGTTATTTTAGTGAGTTGAACCGTGCCAATTTAATATTGTTCGCTTATGTTATTATGTTAAAGAGGATTTTCAATTCAGTTTTAGTTCAATTTCTCGAGTTCAAATTCAACTTTTTTTTTTCTCATTCGGTTCAGTCTTGAACAAATTAAACCCAAATATGTAGAAAAATCGAATTGAATCAAATCACATCGCACAATTTTGCGACATATGATTCAATTATTGTTTCATGATTTATTTTGTATTTTTTATCTTGTTTGGTGCGATTTTACAAAAATTGACCCAAAGTACATAGAAAAAAAAATAAAAAATCAAATCAAATCGAGCAATTTAGGTTCGGTTCAGTTCGATTGGTTTTAATGTTGAAAATTTTATATTTGAAGTTCTCATTTATTGCAGTGCAGTTGGAACTAAAAGCTTTACAATTTCGATTTTGCGATTCCCCATACCTTAGTCCTGTTGATTTTCATGCGTATTGTTTGGCATCCGAGTTGGAAAGTATAAACCCAAAACTTAACACCCTTATGGCATGTTTGGTAGGAAATAATGACATGAGAACGGAATAATCATTCCCTTACTCATTCCTTATCCCATGATTGATATATTTTTTGGAAAGTAATGACCATTCCAATGGGAATGGCAAAACCCATCTCCATGGGATTAGCCATTCCATAGTAAACGGAAGGTTTTCTCATTCCCATGTGTGTAGGAATCTATTTTTCAGAAAATTAAATTAACAAATAATAATTAAAATAAATATATAATATATATTATAAATCATGATTAAAATATATATAATAAAATTATTTTAAAAAATAAAATTCAAATAAAAAAATTGAAAACTTACTTTTATTTATTTTTTAATTAGATATATTAAATACTTATATAAAAATAAAACTAAAAAAAACATTTATATATAATTTAAAAATATATTATTTTATTTTTATATATTATTAAACATATATTATTTTTTATATATTAAAAATATATTACTTTTAAGAATATATTATTTTTATATATAATTTAAAAATATATTATTTTATTTTTATATTTTATTTTTATATATTATTAAAAATATATTATTTTATTTTTATATATTATTAAAAAATATTTATTTTTAATTTATTAAAATTATATTATTGCTTTTATTTATTTTTATAATAAAAAATGATAATGTCATTCTATTCCAGTCCTATTCTTTCTACATACCAAAACGCATCAATGACAAAAGTTATTTCATTCCATTCCTATAATCATTCCATTTTTCAATTAATTCCATTACTACGAAATTTCATTCCATTATACCAATCGTGCCATTAATGGAATAACTTAGCAAACAAATTATCCTCGAAAGTAGATTTTTCAGGGCGGTCTTTCTAGACCCAACGTCCAAGGTCGGCCTCCCAGTTGTAGGCGGTATAAGCCTAGAAATAGGTAGACAACAGAAAACAAGCAAGGCGCGGAGAAAGTCCGAGCTCAGGGCAAGAAGGAAGAGATTTAACCTCAAGGCGAAACTAGAATCCGACCTCAGAGATCCTGGAGGTCGGACCTCGAAGCACACTCTAAAGTCTGGAAATAATAAAATAGTGCCACTTGCAATCCAATGATGACCGATGAGATGTACCCACCAACTCTGCAAACTCATAGGGTGACATGTCCTCATTAAAAGCCAGTCACTCAACTTTAAATGGCTATTAATCATCACTTAAGACCAACAATATCTCATTTAATGTATGTCATTCCGATTTACCGTACGAGGTGACCTAATGAACATAGTGAACAGTATATGAACAATAGGCAGGGATGTTTAGCTATAAATAGTCATAGTTTTCATTTATTGTGGGGTGTGGTTGAAGTATCTCTCCAACTCTAAAAATTATCTCTCTACATTTCTCTGTAAGAAAAAGTGACCATTCGTAATTAATTCGTGTATTTAAAGCCTAGAGGCCGACCTCAAAATTCTGAGAGATAATTACCTGGTGTACGATCCTTATGAAGTTTTTTTCCTTAAAAACGAGATAATTTTTTTAACTATCAAACTAAACTTTCCTGTCCACTTGAATCAGAGTTTGGTCTTATTAATACCATTTTTATCATTTATTCTTTATCTTTCATATCTTAATGAATCTCATTCAATTTCTCTCTTTCTTTGTTTCCTCTTCGCTTCTCACTTCTCAGCACGCACACACATACACACTTCGCGTCCGATTGTGCGGTGCGGTCCAGCCATGGACGCAGCCAAATCGCCACCGTCGTACTCGCTCAGGTCGAAGAAGTGAGAAGCGATTACCCCTCTATCGGATCTGAAGGCGCGGAGAGCTCCCAAGAACGACCCGAATCCATTGGGGGGTGAAAACGTCCGGGAAGCCGATGGATTCCCCGAGGCGGTTGCGCAATCTTTGCACGGCGATGTCGATCGAAGAAATCAGGGAGGCGGACATGGAGCTCCGGGGACGTAGATCCGACCTATCTGAAGATTTGATTTAGGGTTTAGCAAAATTTGATTTGATATATATATATATATATATTTTAAAAAGTTTCATTTGATTGATCTTTAGATCTATAAGTTGCTGAGATTTAATTTTAATTTTTGCTCAATTTTGCTTTGATATTTGAAACATTGACTTTGAAATTATTGCTATGACCGGGAAATTTGGTCGGATCTTGAGTTCCGGTGAGTTCAAGGCAGATAATTTTTCTCAACTCTATGGAGAAGGAGCGTCGAACATATCTGTTAATTGTTTCCTAAGTTTAATTTTGATTATGGTTGTTAATTGGTTTTTTTTAATCTTATTTTGTAGTTTATATTAATTTTTGTTTTTTGCACTTGATTATTTTTTTTATGATTTAGTAAAAAAAATTGATAATAAACTTAAGATAATCAAGAATTTTAAAATAGCTTTAAATAAATTTTAGAGGTAATGTGATAAACTTAAAACAATCTAAAATATTTAATTTTATTTTTTTTTGCGTCGATTTTTTTTTATGATGTACTAAAAATATTGATAATAAATAAAAGTATTAATTTTATAACTATAATAAACTGAAAATAAACCATATATAAACTGAAAATTTTTCTTGTATAATAAACTGATTTTTTCTTATATAATAAACTTAAAATAAACTAGTTTAACTAATTTATTATAATAAACTGAAAAATAAACTATATATAATTTTTCTTTTTTTCTCTTCTCTGTATTATTTAACAAGTTTGGTATGTTACATGTTTATGTCTATTTATATTATGTAAATAGTTTGGTATAAAAAATGTTATGATTGTTATTTAACTAATTATAAACTTAAAATAAACTCAACTTTTGATAACTAAGTTCTTGCAACCGTCTTTTTTTTTCTGCACCTTTCCTTGATTAGACAGAGCTGTGGTATGGATTGGATTAGGAGATTAATTAAAGGGAGATTAATTAAAGAGTTATTGCTCTACATATTTACTTCCTTTTTTATTAAAAGAAATATATTCTAGGAATTCATAAAGTCTGGTGAGACAAATGTGTGACAAGTTTTTCTATATTGTTTTTATGAAATTGATACCTAATGGAGGCGTATAAGTGTACTTTAGCCAATCCTCTATTAATGATTTTGTCTTCCTAATCCATATATAATTAGTGTATTTTCAATTTAAAACAATTAAAAATTAAAATTTCGTAAATTTGCAGGAATGACTAAAGGGCAGATGATAAATGGGTACCAGTGCTGGACCAGTCCTTACAGTCGAGACCGCAGCCCAATAATATTAACAATAAATAGGCCCAGGCCCAACAACTCACTCTCCGACGACGTCTTCCTAGATGCACACTCCAGCTCCGCCATAGCCGAAAGCTTCGCATCTAACCTTAGCAACGTTTTTTCTCTGAAGTTCTCTCAAAGGTGAAAGAAAATGGGAAGCAGATTGGGAAGAAGAGTCGTGAGCTTTGCCAATTTACCCATAAAACTCCTCATGCCCTCATCATTTTCCAATATTACCGAGATTGCCCTCAAAACCATCCCCTCCGCTTCGAAGGTGCCCCAGTAGCTTTAATCTGCCATTTTTTTTCCTAGTTTTTTCTTCTGATTTTCGCTTTTCCGTATTCCGTTTTGCAGATAGAGATTAAGAGGGTTCTGGAGTCGCTGTACGGATTCGAGGTGGAGAGGGTCCACACTCTCAACATGGAGGGGAAGAAGAAGAAGCGTGGCGGGCTGTTGCTCGCGAGGCCGGATTACAAGAAAGCTTACGTGACGCTGAGAAACCCTCTTTCACTAAACCCTGATCTTTTTCCCATTAGGGTAATCGAGGAGGAGAAGAAGAACATGAGCAAGCAGGCGAAATCGAGCATCGTGGAGGACCCGGAGACCGTGAAGAGCTCCCACTGGCTCGACGAGAAAAGGGACGGCGGCAGGTTTAAGTCCGGCGAGCGGCGTAGCTTTGGTGGGCGGACGAGGGGTCGAGGGGAGAAGGTTGAGTCCAAACCGGTTGCCAAGTTTCCGTGGAGCAGCATGACCTCTATTGGGAGGTAACGATTGTTGTTGTTCCAATTGATTTTTTTTTTTTTAAATATATGGAGGACGTTAGAGATGCCGATTACGTGTTCGATGCAATGTCGCAGTGAGTTTTAGTGGTCTGGATATGTGGAGTTACTTTGGTCTGTTCCTGTTGGATTTTTGATGATTGAACTGTGTTATGAGATTGAGTGGATGGTACTGTGCCGGATAATGTTCCCTTTGTTCTGTTGGAATGCAAGTATCAATGGCTGGCTATCTCTATTTCCTAATAATAGCTGATGTGAGTGTCGAATGAGATTTTTTATGATTTTGAATTGGGCCTCGTGGATTTTTATAGGCACAAGGAAAGTGCATTCCAGTATTGTGATTGCAAGCATTTTCCCTATAGGAGTTCGATTTTCATGATTTCGAAGTGGTCTCCTGGATTTTTTTTATTGCTTGAATGCTTGAATTGTGTTACCGTAAAAACACAGTGAAAAATCTGGTATACTAAGTGTTTTGTATGAAAGGTAAGTATCAGCATTTTTGCTTTTTCGTTCTTTTTTCTAACCCAGCAGATTGACCATCGTAGTTTGGTGGTGAAATACTTGAGGCTCGATTGTTTAGCTGACTTATCCATTGAGTTTTTTAATAATCATTACATAAATAGGTTGAATGCATAATCTTTACATATATAGGTTCTGGTTGAGTGCTGACTGCTTTACTTGTTTTAACTGATGTGTATTATTGTATTTTTCTGCTGCATATGAACTGAATATTGCTTTCCTTAGACTAATTAAGTCCACAAGATCTCTCATTAGATATGACAATATGTAAAAAGTATTAATTTAATATTTATAAAAAATAAGACAAATTTTACATTACTATTTACCTACAAAATACACTTTTTTTGAACATGTATAAGTTTTATTCTAAGGCTTTTGCTAAATGATATCTATATCATCCATGGAATTACAGAATATATTTTACCTCATTCTGCTATATAAAACCAAACCAAAATCATTTTTACTTTAAGATGGTCCACTGCCAATATTATTTTTTGGGGAATCTCTCATAGGAATATGATATGCAATATGCATAAGTATTTTCAGGATAGTGCTTGCCCTCTGCATAAGTTGCTCTCTTGTGGCCTATTATGGGATTCTTCAGTGTCTTGTATTTTCAGGATAGTGTTCAAAAGTTTCTACCCGACCTTTTCCTTGTATTGCAGCTCTTACCTTCACTTGCTCCGAGAATAATACCTGCGAATATCATCTACTTTTTTTTTTTTGGTCATACCTAAACATTAAACAATCAAGGGCTTATTGAGATGTATGCATTTTGGGTTTTGTTGGGAGTGTGAGTATGCTAGATTCTTATGGCTGAAGATATCCCAACTATTTTCAGCACATTTTTCGGGGATAAATAATTTGCTGAAAAGCCTGAAATCATTCATGTAAAGAAGAAGTACCTGGATACTGGTTCTTAGTCGCAACCCGTCATTCTGTGCAACATGCGAACATTCATCTTGTGAAAGCTTCTCGTAGTTCATGACTTTGCATATCCTCCTCCGTTCATGTTCCGATAGCGATGGATGAGTCTATAAATCCGATTTTGATTAAATCGGGGCAAGTAAAATGAAAAAAAAAAAAAAAAAAAAANGAACAACGGCAAATAAACCTTAAGATAGGTGTCGATGGCTCTGTAGAGGCCATCATCACTAGTCCTGGCACTTTCTGGCAAGGACTGTGCCAAGAACCTTAAGATAGTGTTGTGTTAGTGAAGTCTTGAAGCAATGAATTGTTTATACTGAAAATTTCTATCCAGGGGCTTTGGCTTAGTTATTACAGACAGTCTTTCAGAAAACGGTCGCGGGGGTAGATTTCGAAAGATATGTGAGGTTTTGTATTAAGGCGAAAACGTTAGGGGTTCGATTTTGCAAGTATGAAGTATCCCTTATTTGCAAACAACTCTGGTTGCGTTGCGTTTTTTAATCGGAGATTTTCCGCAGCGAAGCATGTTTCTTGGTTCTTTAAAGAAAAGCGGAGCCAAGTAAATTTGAATTAAGTGGGACAATTGTTCTTTGAGTTTTAATGCTTGAAAAGTGAGTTTGTGGCTGCAGAGGAGACTGCCGTTAATGAAAAGGTTGCTGCGTGGTTTCATTGAACTTCATTCTCAGGTTCACTGTCATGTTCTTTCGCAACGACAGATTCATTAAATAAAACACATAATTACAACCGGTCACACCGGAATGGGAGGACTACCCAATGGGAGGACTAACCAAGGTAGCCTATAAACAACAACACACACTACATCACGAAAGAAAAATAAAAACTCCCCACAGGAGAATAACACAGTCCTCCAAAGAGGAAAAAAAACAAAACACAATCCACGAAACAAAACAACAAACCACAAACAGCACAAACCAGACAACAACACACAAACAACAACAAAATAACATAATAACTATAAGCCCTCCACAACCGCAATGGACAGCCAAACCACGCGCACGAACGGACCCAATAGAAGAAAAGAGACCCGACTCAATTCAGATCTAGAAACTGCAATCGAGGCCTAGCTAAACCCGAGCAAGCCAGGCCTCCTCCTACCGAGAGCCCGCAGACCTCACCACGAATTTTGGCCGGAGAGACACCCCACACCAAACCGGCCGGAGCAGTCAGAAGCCTCCCATCGGCATCCCAACTCCCCCACCGTCGGGCCACCCATCCCAGCACCAGGAGACGGATGGTCCAAGGGATAATCACCTCCGCAAAAACTCAACCGTCGTCCGCCTGAGGACAGCGAAACGGCGACGGCGACCACGAACTACCCACCCACTCCGGGACCCCGCTGAAGAACCACCAAGGACCCCAAGACTGGGGAATAAACCTTGCCGATTGCAGGCCCGTCGGGGAAGAAGACACGCCGGTCCCCTAGTGTAGTCATCGCCGCGGCAGGCCGGAGCCTGCGGAGGGGAGGCGGCGGCAAATTTGACGGGGGACTTCTAGGTTTAGCGAAAGGGGGATTGTATTTTTAGAGAGAGAGTCCTTTGTAGATGCGTTCAATGTCATGTGTTAAGAGAGACAATTGGAACAAGAAATAAAAATAAAAATAAAAATAAAAATGCTTGTTAGGTCTGCACAAAAAGAATGTTTTGCTCGTGAGTTGTTACAGGTCGCCATTAGTTCTAGGTGAAAATGGACGGGACGATTTATATTTATGTGTGGCTTTTGGGAAGTCTCAGTGTTTAGTTTTTAACTGACAGTGTCCACAGGAAGTGTGCAAATTTTGGATTCTGATGAGAAAATGATTTTCAGGTCCAATAATTTTATTTTATTTTATTTTTTCTTAAGTTGTAGAGAACTGAAACTCAATTTTCTTATCATAGTAAACACATTTGAAAAAAAAATAAAATAAAAAAATCACATCTAATTAGGCAGACGAGTTAGCATGGATCATGGATGGTGATACATATATAAGTGAAATGAAATATTTCTTACAATACCAATACCCGTGTGTAGTATATATCAAATGAGTGCTTATCAAAAAGTTCTACCATTAGTCAATTGTACTACCTGTCTCTTATATTATATTAATTTTTCAATTCATTAATATAGATACTTTAATCTTCATTTGTAAGCTAAAAAAATTTATTTTTCATTGAATGAGTATGATTGATAAATTTCTCATTTAACATAGATAATTTAATCTTTATTGGTAAGCTAAAAATTTATTTATATGCAATATGAATGTGAAATCAAAGTTCATTAAGAAATGACTAATTTGATGGCCCTGAATACCAAAAACTGAGACAGTATTAGTAAGCACATAGGAAAACGAAGCAACAAAAAATTAACACATAGGATTACAAAGTACAAGAAATCAACACGTAGCAATTACTGGAAATTAACGCCCATGTTCCAAAAAACCTACATTAGAATTATGAAAGCCCAAAAAATTGACCGTAGCAAGCGCCAAAATTTGACACTTATGTTCGGGGAAAACACGAGAAATTGACACGAAAATTTGAGAAACTCTTCATTGGAGGAGTTAAAAAAAAAATTGCATGTGTTATATATTTATAGTTACATATTTATGTTCTTGTTTTTCAAAATAGCGTACAAGCTTATTTGTTATTTTTCAAATTAAAATTAGAATGATACAGTTTTATTTCATTTTTACCAAATGATATAATTTTTTTTTTCTTTTTTTTTTAAAGTTTGCATAGCATATGGATGTCAAACAAAAAAAATTGTCAAAAGAAGTTAATTACATGTATTAAAGAAAAATGAATAATAAATACAAATTATTTAGTTTTAGAAGTAATACAGAAACACATGTAGAAATTAATATATGAGATAAACAAGATAGTAAAAACACATACAATTTCTGGTGTCAGTTAATGTAAAAATCAAAGCTGATTCTGCGGCACTTTTAACATTTACTCTTAAGAAACCATGTGTATGCTCCAAAGCTAACTACACCACACTTCAAACTTTATAATTTCATCACATAGGAATCTGAGCCACCAAAAATAAATTATATACAAGTTGAAGCATGAAAATTAAGTGTCAAACGTTACAATAGCAGTGTACATAGGAATTTGAGACACCAAAAGAAAATTTATACAAGTTGAAGCATGAAAAATCAACACTTATGCTTATGAATGTACCTAATGTACTACTGAAACACAACAAATTTTGATGTGTGTGTGTAATTTTTGGTCTTCTTTTTTGTTATTAACCTAAACATAAGTGCCATTATCTCCATGTGTATCATCAGCACACAACACATATGTGATACAAATAAAATAACTTCTGAAAATGCATCCATTTTGCTAAATCATCATCAGCTTAAACAGAATCATCAGCATTACTACTACCCTTCACCCAATCGACGTTTACACGTAAAGGGTGTCCTAAAATCCCGATCATTTGGTAAAAAAAATGTACCGGCACACAATCAACGCGTGCTCATACACTCTTCCATCATTCCTCATTAATTTTTTCATTTTAAAAAAAAAATGAAAATGACAAACAAAAATATATATATAGAGAGAGATAGAAGAATACTCGTACACACGCTATTGCTGCCAGCCAAACTGTTGATTTCTGCTGCCGCCCGCCGGATTCTGACCTCTTCCGCCGGAAACTCCATACTGACTGCCGGAATAACTCGCCGGAGGGGGTGGGGGACCCGACCCGTAAGCCCCACGGGGCCCACTGTTTACTGGGTAAGGCTGGGCGACCCGCCCCTGAGACGGGTAGGGCCCTCCGGCGGGCGGGTACCTGTTGTTGGGCCCTCCGGCTGGCGGGCCACGGGGCTTCCCATATTGGTGGTGGCCCGCGATTGGCGGCTGGGGATTGGTGGTGTTGTTCCAATGGTGGGCTTGGGCTTGGGTTTGGGTTTGGGCAGAGTGTTGGATGGGAGGCAAACGAGCGTGTTGCTGTGGGTGTTGGAGTTTCTGCCTCTTTGCGATTTCTTCGTTCTGCCGCTGCTGCTGACGTTTTTTCTTGGTCTGGAACTCGTGGGACGACTCGTATTTCGGCAAACTGCGAAAAAAAAAAACGAGTAACAAGAGGGAGTTTTAGTCACGTTTCGTTTTATCACAATACTAGTATTCGTTCTTGTGCATATGGACAGAGACAAATAAACGTTTATATATTATATGTATGTATGAAATATTTAAAATTTTAAATTAGATAATGGATGGATGTATTACATTTTAAAACTTTTTAACTACAATATAAATATAAATTATTTAACTTGACAAAAATTTTAATGGACAATGCAATTTTGTAATTTAGAGGGACCATACAATTAATTAGTTAGAAAAGTATTACAATTATTTTTATTATTGTTATAGCAATTGTTTATGTGATTCTAAGGGGTTTAATTATGACACTCATGCCAATTAATTAATATTAGAGGAAAATCGCTTAATAAGACCAAAAAATTATATTTATTGTAGAGTAAGCATCTTAAAAAAATTGCAATTCAGTTTTTTATAAGTCTGTAACTTTCACATATTGTTTAATGTAAATTTATAATTAATTAGTATTAGTAGTAATTATTATATAATAAATTATTTAAATTTATTATTACACTTTATTAAGTAAAATGTAATGGTTCTACATTAAGTGAAAAAATGAGCAGGAAATCTAGAGAGGTTTTATTAATTAGGTTTTATTTATTGCTCTGTCAGCAATTATATATATATATATATATATATATATAGATAGATAGACATTGATCTCGTTTGAGGCATGCGGATTTTTTTTCTTGAAATGTACCTTCGCGGGTCGCAGGGTAACGGGTCCGTCCAGAAATACTCGGCGTCTAGAGCATCCTTAGCTGATATCCTCTGTGTGCACAATTGAGGTTTAGGAGGGGGCAAAAGAAAAGAATTTGCTACTAAAATTTAATATGTTAAAATGAAACTAATTCGGATTTAATGATTTTTTTGTTTCATTTTTTCACTTTATTATCAGCTGTTAAAGACCATTGTCCAGAAAACGAGGTAAACAACTACAAGATAAAACAAAAGATGTGTTGATATAAAATTCACTCACAAGTCACAACATTGCTGACTCAAACACAAACCAATGTAGTGTGCTTATACTTTAGCCAAGAAAATAACCAGATAACGAACAACATAAAACGATGTTTGCTTGCTAAACAAGTAAAAAGCTTACTGAACGGAGATATACCTGAGCTGGATCAAGAACAAGCATTTTCTCCAACAAATCCAAAGCGTGTCTATCAAAACTGCATAGCAAGTTATCAATCAGACCACATAATATTCATGCATTTAGCAGTAGCCATTGTTACATTACAGAATTTTTTTTTTTAAGTTCGGCTTCATATATACTTAACTGTCTAAAAAGCTCTCGGATTCGCCTTTTCATTTGACGTGATGGCTTAAATTTGTTATACCAAGGGATTTTGGAAACACCAGGCCACGTCACCTCATCTGGGGATCCACAAAGCTCAAATATTTTGTTTAACTGTTCAGGCTGCAGTAACAAAATACAAAATCAAAATTTTTAAATAGTGATAAAATTTAGACAACCGATTCTAAATAACAAGGGAAGAACTATCCAGAAGTTTAAAAATGTGAATATTGAAAACTGTGTCAATTGCGTGAACCAAAACACAGCAATATGCATGAGATTTATCCTCATATACCAAAGATAACAAGCAATTCTAAATATGACAGTTCTTCCATGTGATAAAGAACTTCCAAGTAGTTACTGAAAGTCAACTATTCTCTTAATCTCAGAACAACTAAATCAACTAAGATGTAAGATTAACAACTCCCTGAAAATAAGACTCTCATGCAGCACTTGGCACAAACACTTCTGTTTGAGTACCCGTATGATTTGTAAGCATTCGTGCTTCCTCGACGTTGCTTTCAATTCAGCATATTAATAGAAAAATATATAAAGCTATAGCTAACAGAAAGTAAGTCTTTAGATGCACGTCTAAAGATGCATAAGAAATCTAATTTAGGTAAAGAGAAGATTGGTAGATATAGCTTCATTTAATGAAATCTTTAAGCAAAAAAAAAAAAAAAAAAAAAAAAGATGGTTCGGCAACATGTTAAAACTATTTGAACAATGATTCACGGGTAGAAGAAGAGATGGCATTTTTGGTGAGAGGGAGATAATTGTCCCCCACTACTATGTGTTTGTTTGCTAGCAATAGCATAATTAAGGAATTTCTTTTAACGTATTCAATATAGTATAAGGTGACACCATATAACATAATTTCTGGTTCAACACTTACGTTTATGGTTAAGTTGTTCATTCAAGAAAGCAAGCAGCACAGCTGAAGAGTGAAGTAAACACAAGACACTACCTTACTTAGATCAGAATATCTCTAAAATAAACCTAACCTCATTTTTTCCTGGTAAAATTGGTTTTCCATACAAGAGCTCAGCAAAGATGCAACCCACAGACCACATGTCGACAGCTGGACCATACTTCGTGGTACCAAGAAGCAACTCCGGAGGTCTTTACAGTCGACAACATAAAATAGAGGCAAAAACTAAGTCAGTGGCACAGCTAAAAACTTTGGGCGTGCTTGGATACAAATATATCCGCTCAAAATGAGTTTTTTTTTTTTTTTAAACCATGGTTAATTTGGAAAAATGTGGTATGGTTAATTGTTAGCGGAATTTTGATTTTATATTAAAATAAATAATTAAAGTTGATTTGATGTAAAAGTAGGGATAGATGATGTGAAGTAATGGTTAGTTAAAATTATGTGAGTGGATGAATAGTGAATTAAAGTTGATGTGATATGTAAGAATGATTGATTGGTATTATTTTATTATATTGATAATATTGAGGATAGCGGGGTTGAGTTAAAGTTGAGCTAGATATTGAGTATGAATTGAGTATGGATTGAGTTTATTTGTATCCAAACACAACCTTTACAATCAAGATATTAATGCTATATCAATAATAGATTTACCTATACCACAAGGTAATAACCCGATTCGTAAGATTTGCATTGACGTCATTTGAGAAGGAACGTGCGAGTCCAAAATCAGCAAGTTTCAGATTCCCCTCATTGTCAATAAGAAGATTGGAACCTGCCAAGAGTTTTCATGTAAATTTTGTCCGCCTACACAATGTTCTACATATAAAAAATAAAAATAAAAAAAAGGTGGAAAGGCAACATGTAAACCTTTAATATCCCTATGGAGCACTTGGTTTACATGACAATAATGAAGACCCGTTAGAAGTTGCTTCATATAACACTGCAAATCAATATTTTCAATAAATGGTCAGTTGATAAAGAATAATGCACAGTTAATATTACTAGTTGTATAATATCTTGTTTTAAATACCTTTATTTGTGGAATAGTAAACCTCAATCCGGGCCGATCTGAAAGCCCAGTTAAGTCATGATCCATGTACTCAAAAACCATGTAGATGCTTCCATTGTACTTATTACTATCTGTAATCAGAATGATGTGTCACTTTTATACAAACTTCTCATTTACAAAGGAATCATAGAGTGTTCATCATAAAAAGAGCGTAGGATTTTTTTTTTAACCTGGATTTGGTTGATCATTCCCTTCTCGGCCTAGTTATCATATTTAGAACACATATCAAACATGAGATGGTACAATGAAAAAATATCAATGGAATAAACCTTAAGACTGAGGTTCGATGCAGTACCAGGAGATGTTACTATCTCTTTCAAGTTAATAACATTCTCATGCTGCAGCTTCTTGAGGATTTTAATTTCACGGATTGCAGTAATAGGAAACTGTACAAAAATCAAATCATGTTACACATTTGAATGTTAGAGAAAGTCAATAAGATACTTCTTTTCAACACATGATAACTGAGGTTAAGAATAATACCCCTTCTTTCTCATTATCCATACGTATCTTTTTCAAAGCAACAATTTCTCCAGTTCTTTTTTCTCTGGCCATGTATACTTGACTGTGAGAAAGCCAAAGCAGAGTAATTTATCAGTATAAACATTAAGCTATCAATCTCTAGGAAATTTAAGCCACTCAAACGGTAGAAAATCATGTAGATCAAGTGTTCGTTCAATTTGAGGCATTAGATAGTACTGCTATATAAGGCTTCACCACCTAGCAGATGACAGATGCACCTAATTTACGATTTTGAATATAAACCAAAAAAATTCAGACACTACTATTTCGCTATCCACCTACACAAGAAAACTTATTATACTCATAATTGCATCTGAGTTTATATATAAGGGAACGGGCAGTATAAAAATCAAAACAGCTGTTCACTTTACGAACACGAAATTCTCATTCTGCGGCTGCTTTATTCAGTTGGTCATTTTCCTTACTTCGCTCGAGGATTTCAAATTTATGCAAGATAAACACAATAGCATTCTACTGAAGCAGTTCATTGAGATCTATTACAGGCTTAATAGAAAAATACATCCCAGCCACAAATAACAAACATGGGGAAAGTGAACCCAACCCAATACTCACAGACACGCATTAACAATTTTTTTATTTTTTATTTTTTAAAAAAGGAACTTTCCACAAATTCAAATCGCCCATCAAGAAAACTCCAATGCCCAGATGCAATTTTACATCAAGCTCATCATAAAATCTAATTATAAGTATCAAGTAACAATATAAAGGTTGAGCACCACAAAAATCAAGCCCACTAAAGAGCGTCCAAAATAATTAAAAAAACTACGCTATACCTAAAAAAATTCAAATTCTTACCCGTATGTTCCTTCCCCAATTTGTTCGAGTTTCTCAAAGCAATCGACGCTTCTTGAGCCCCACGATGGGCACTCATCCACATTCAGCTGGTTATTCGCCATCGCAAAATTGTCCGCTTTCTTGTGTAACTAATAACTATAGCCTTCCTATGCACTTTCTTGTTCGCTGCTGTGAGCTATGGCGAAAGACTGTAAAACGATAAAGTATCTGAAAAATTGAATTCAAAAGGTTCTGACAGAAAGCAAAAGAGCAAGTTCAGGTTCAGGGGAAGAAAGCCATCAGCGGCGGGGGGGGTCTTTTAGAAGAAGACATGAAAAAGATGTGGGTTGATTTTTATTTTTTTTTGGTAGTTAATTTTTTTTTTTCCGATTTATTTTAATTAAATCAAAATGCGAATATTTGAGATTAAGGCGAAATATACATGATATTACTAATTTTGTTAAGATTTAGGGAAAAAGAAAAATCTTTCATTTGTCCTTGGAGACTTGTGTTCGTTACAAAATTGAGATTGATGTTACAAATTCATAATTACAACTCAAAATACCAAAAAATAAATAAATAAATAAATAAAGAAATAAGAAGCATTAGAGTGAGTCTCTCTCTCTCTCTCTCTTTTTATATATACAAGTTGTTAGTTGTAGGATTTATATTTTAATTAATCCAAAATGCAATATTTGAAATTAAGGCGACATATGCTGATATTATTATATTATGTTCTTGAAGAATTTTGTCAATTACATAATGGGGATGGATGTTACATATTCATAGTTACAACTCAAAATTCAGAAAATAAAGAAACAAGAAGCGCATCCGTTTACGAGGAGTGCTTTCGTCTATCTATATGTAAATGTTTTTCATAATTGTAAGATTTGTAGTTTGATAAATTTTATAAGAGTGGGTTTATTTCTTTAATGTGTTTGTCGGATTTATATTTTGATCGACTCTTTAGACTTTGTGTAAGAAGATTATTTAAACTAGTTTATTTATCAACAATTGAATTCTATTTTAAATTTATTATTATTATATTTTCGTTTCAAAGAAGAAAAAAAAAAAAAGT